CAAATTAAAACGGGCTCCGAGAAGGATCTTAAAGGAGAATCGAATTACGCGAGAAGCGATTCGGGGGAAAACTCACCGGAAGACTATGAAAATTACGGTTATTTAGATGAAGAAATTGGTGGAATGAAAAAAACCGTTAGTTTCGCAGAAAGGATATCGTTTGCGGTGAAAGAAAGAGAAAAAGAAAACGGAGCAGTTCCATTGAACTCCCCTTGTTCTGCTATGATAAATCAAAAACTTCAGGAGGTATTTACCATAAGTTTATTTATAAGTTTCGAACGTCTTATTTACTTATTATTTATTTATATACTTTTTTTAATTTCTAGATAAAAAATAAAAGGTCGGTCAATTTGCCCATATGTGAAGAATCCTCCGAAAGTTTGTTGGCGGATTCGCCGATAAAACATCCCATACAAACATCGGCAGAATTTCTACAGAAAAAGGGTAATTATTATTTTTTTATCGATCGACGTCTGATTTAATGGCTTCAGGTGAAAAAAAAATCTCCATTTTTTTATTTTTTAGATTTAATACTAGATGTGAAAAAAGCAGTCGATAAAATAATCAAATTATCCAAGGAATCTAAAGACCCGACTAATCTTTGTTTGCATCAATTGTGTCCCACTCTCTACGCCATATTAAGCGATGGTCTGAAAGAAGAAATCGAGACTCCTTTTGGACCGATAAGAAATTCTGTATGGGGTGTCGTGGAAGCATCATCTCAAAATGGGCCGATGATACAAACGCTCAATGAATTAGTTCAACGATTGAATAGAGATGACGTTTTTACCGAAGGACTCATTAAATTTAACGCTTTCGTATTCGGATTGATCAAGTAAGTGAATATATATTTACAAAAAAAAAAACGATTGATTCAAATATCAATAAAATATTATTATTATTATTTGCAGCGCTCGAGCGTTGAGCGGTTGGCTCTCATACTTGCGAACGAGAGATGGACTCCTTAAAAAATATTATAATAATTCGGGTTTACTCTTGCTTTCGAATACGGCTGGCGCTTTCCGAGTTTTAATAGATGAATTAATAAATATATTGGAACCTCTCAGTTTAATACGTTTTAATTTAGATCTTATGTATCAGACTAAATTACTTCACTGCAGTTTACAAAATTTAAATCATTTACTTGAAGCAAGTGTTGCCAAAAATGTTTTTGAGTTTTCAAACGTTTTTTTATCCACATTTAATTCTATTGAAATATTAATCAATTGTTTTTTTTAGGAAGCGGATAGCAATGCTTTTCTGACTCCGACAAAACAATTCATGTTATTGAAATTAGTTCAGTCGATACAAAACAGTATTAATCAGGGTGGAGAAAGTAAAAGAGGTAAATCATCAGGTAATCAGAAGGATGGAAAATCGGAGGAGGTCTCTCAGGAAAAAAATAAATTTATTCGCACGAGAAAAGCAAGCACGGTTAAAGCTCGACCAAGGAGTGGTATTTTGGGACAAGGTTAAATATTTTTTGTTTAAGTTGTTATTTGTCGTTGAATTTAAATTTAAGTAAAATTAAAAATTTTTTTTTTTCGTAGCTGGTAAAGAAATTACCGATGTTAACATTGCAATGAAAAAAAGATGGAGCGGAGTTCATTCGAATTCTAAACTTGTCGAAGCTTTCGACAAACTCGGAAATGATTCCGAATCGGATTACACGGATAGTTTAGATTGTAAAAAACCAGTTACGGAAAATGAAACGTCGTCTCCCTCAAAAAATGTAACTTGAACTCCTTTTTTTTTTTTTTTTTTGTAAAGTCAATGAAAATTGAAAAACAAATTATTTTTCGTAGGCTAATAACAGTACCAAAGAACAGAAAAAAAATATTTTATTAAATTTGAATAAAAAAAGTAACAAAACTGAAGATTGTAAGACTGAAATGGAAAAAAAAGAAAATGGGGGTCATAAGTTTAAGCGTCTCCAACAAAAATGGGAAAAATTAAGTGGGAAAACAGGTATTTTTGTTAACAAATAATTTTGGAATGACACGTGTAATATACGTGTAAAATGTATTTTTAATAATTTCAGAGGTAGATGTAGACGAGAGAAATTATTACGTAGACAACAGGCCTGAAAATCGACCGTGCAGTGCACCGGAAAAAGGTTCTCCCGAAAAGCACAACAGCGGCGGAAGTGGTGGTGGTGGTGGTGGTGGTGGTAATTCAAATTTATTCTCCATACCGAGTCCCACTTCGAGAATATCTAAAATCCCTAGGTTAGTTACAAGCCCGTCGTCATCTTCTCCGAGTAGTAAAGGTAAGCCTACAAAATTTTTTTCCAAATGATTAAAAATTTAAAAGTATTGATTGATTTTGAAAACTTTTAGGAACCCGAAAACCCGTATCGCCACCTTCGCTCAATCCTTCGACTAGTAACAATCAAAAAACGTATAAAAGTAATAATTTGGGAAAAGTACAAAGTTCCGAGGTTCCGAAAATAAATCATCAAGTTTCGAATAATAATAAATCGGATGAAAAGTCACCGTCGAAATTGTATTCGAACGGGAACGATAGGGGTAATTACACAAACAGACCCAACAGTCTTCCTTTTAGGGGATGCAACACGATGCCTTTTAAAAAAAGCGAAACTTTGGTCATGAGAAAAGGTTCCTCCATGTCTCTGAATAGAAGAACGACGACGACGACGACGCCGCAAAAATTGCAACACGTTCAAAGGTGAATCAAAAAACGACCGATCCTTAATTTAAATTATCATTATTATTAATTAACAATTCCTTTTTTGCTTTGATATTAACCCTATAACGGTTTTTTCTAGAACGGTTCGAACTCTAACACACAGACTCCCATCGGATTCGGGTCATTTATCATTTAACGAGGGTGAAAAATTAAAAGTGGTGTTGGAAGTTGATAAAACGTGGCTTTTGTGCTGTCGAGGCACTCAAAAAGGTTTGGTTCCAAAGTCAGCTGTGATTTCAGATATAGAAGATGTCAAATTTTAATTTTAGGCGTTCTTTTTTTTTTTTCCTGATCGTAATTTTAAGGCTTTACGTAACATTTAAATCCGAAACCTTAATCGCAATCAAAA